CCCGCGGCGGGGGTGCCTGCTCCCGCCTGGGCAGCCTCCCACGGGCGCTCCACCCGCCGGCTCTGGCCCTGCTCGGGTGGATTTCCAGCTCATCCTGAACGCACGTTGAGGGTTTGCGACGCGCAGATCCGAGCAACGTGTAACAGGGATGCCTCCCTCCTTGGGGACGTGTCTGCCGTTGCACAGGCGAGCTGTGTCTGGTGGGATGGCTTTGGCGTGGTGTGAGAGCATCCGTGTGCAGGCTCTGGTCTCTCCCTTGTGGCATCTCCCGGCTGTAGCCTGTGGCATCTGCCGGCTGTAGCCCCTAGGCCTGCTGCTGGGCATCCGCTTCCCGCAGCTGAGGTACCCGCTGAGGCACGCGAGGACAGTCCTGCTCACTCCGCCGCCTCCACTGGGCGCAGGATCCCTTTCCTCCTTCAGAAGGTGCCCTGGGAGCAGCTGGCTGGGCTCCCAGACGTGTTCACAGGAACTGTCTCTCCAGTGCACACTCAGCCTTCTCTCCTCCCTGTTACTTCTCGTGTACATCCCTGCCCAACAATTCCACTTCTTATTTTCAGAGCTATTTATTGGAAAGGGGAGATTTTAAGATGGGAGGTTCTGGTTTCTTCCTCAAGTTTTGTAGAACCTTTCCTTTCCTCAGAATATTCTCTCATCCCTTATGTGAAACTGTCTTGGTTTTGCTTTGCAGGAGTTGTTTGTTGAAACCATAGCCAAAGATGCTTACGTGTACGCTCAGCAAGGAAAGAGGAAGACTCTGCAAAGAAAAGACCTGGGTACGGGAGCATACTCTGTCTATCCTTAGCAAGGCGTTGCTAGGATGGAGGATTTTTCCACCTGTCCTGGTATGATGAAGCAATCAGGTGTTTCTCTTTCTTTCCCTGAAGACAGGAGAGAAAAACTACTCATCTACCAAATATTATGCTAATAATTTCACACACCAGTTCCAAGCCTCTTTGAAATTGGTCACAGTACTGTGTTGTAAATTCAAACGCTGCTGTTTGAAGCAGATGCAAGTACGGATTCGTTTATCTATGTTAATTTTTTTCAATTTACTTTGCAGATAATGCCATTGAAGCTATTGATGAATTCGCTTTTTTGGAAGGTGAGTTTCTACTTGGTTTCACTTGGTTTCAGTATTTTGCGTAATCTCCTTGGTAGAGAGAGAACTTGATCATTTGCAGAGCTTCCTGTTTCCTCATCTTTAGTAATTAGTAGTGCAACTTGTTGTGCCCCTCTGAGTGGTGAAGCACAAATCAAATGAACCCTGAGACACATACGATGCTTTCTAGCTAGATTTGGTTTCACTCATGCGTGGTTTGCTTAAAGGTTAAAAAATTCCTTTGGCAGCCTGTAAACAAGTTTCATTTTTTTCACATAACTGCATTTCTGATTCCTGACACAGTAATTTAAGGTTGGGGTTTTTTCATTTTTAGGAACCTTGGACTGAGCTGGCCAGAGATGGAGCTCTCTGGAGAAGGAGACTGCAGAGATGGACATAGGATGGAAAACAGGACGCGCAGAGTTCAAAAACACTTCCTAGAATGGAAACACTGAAATAGCAACCATCATATTTTGTATAAAGTTTAAGTTGTTCTAAGTTCTTTATTTAAAACATGTATTTTTTCATAAATATTTTGTATGTCACTGCACTGTGCCCTGCTGCCACGGTGCAGGCTGCTCTGCAGCTTTGGGCAGGTCACAGCAGTCGCTCAGAGCAGTGGCCCCTGCCTATCGGGGTACTCTGCAGCGCCACAGCAGTACGAATGCAGAGTGCCCGGGCTCAGATCCCAGGTGTGGTGAATATTCTGTTTTATGGAAATGTATTTTTATTTGTAGATGTTTTTTTCTTGGAAGAACACAATTAAATTTTGTTGTTGTTGTTGAGCAGCTGTCCTGATTTCTCCTCTGTTGTGCTGGGGTGAAGGGGGTGCTGTTCTGTAGCTCTGTGGTAAATGGCATAGTTTGAAGAGGATGCCTTCTAATAGCATTTTGCTTTTGCTGATGGTTTCCTCAAGGCGCCTGTCCCAGTGAAGCCCAGCTGGCCTCCAGGAACTACTCTGAGCTATAGGAAAACTTGGCTTGTTCCTAGGGGTCTACAGCTTCCAGAAATTTCTGTGATTGGTGCACCTGTGGGTAACTAGCCAAAAAACCCCCAGAGCTAAACCCCCTGCTTTGAACACCAGAGTGGTGTCAGATGCATTGGGTTGCCGTCGCTGTTCTGGTGTGCGCTCCGATTCCCGCGTCTGGCGGGAAGAAGACTTTCCCTGGGAGCTGGATCTGTTCCTTGCCACATGCCAGGTGTGTGCAGAGATCCCAACTTCTGTACTGAAGAGCCACGTGCAGCAAGTGTTTGGCACATGCTGGACGGATGTGCCCGCAAGAGTCCGTTACGGCTCACAGGCAGCTAGCTACCCGTGCCTCTGCTGTTTCCAGGACTTGGGAGACTAGTCCTTTCCTGAGTGAGTTGAACAAGCTAGGAAGAGTGATGCCTTCCTTGGTCCAGGGCTCAGTCACACTGACAAGAGGCAAACCCCGAGCTGCAGGCCTCTCTGCGGGGTGATGGGGAACATGCTGTCGTTGCTGATGAGCCCGAGTCCTACCGCGTTGCCATCTTCAGCAAAGAGCCAGCTTTGTCGCCGTTTTGGGGGTGCTGAGGGACAAAAGGGTTGTCTCTAGATAAAAAGGCCATTGAATGCAATGAGGGAGGATGAAGGGTGCATGTTCTTTTCAAACAAGGGGACTTGAAAGTGACTCCAAGTCACCCCAAACTTAATTAGTTTGAAAGTAGTGGTAGGAACAAAGACCCCCAAGGGAGCTTCCCCAAGCTGGGAGCAAAATCAGTTGCACTCATGAAACACTTCGAAGCTTGGTCCAAGCCTGATCCCCACAGACATATTGTGGGAACAGTGCCATCGCTGCCCGTCTGCTAAGGTGTTTGTTCGGGTCGCAGTCTGGGACATGCTAGCGACATGCAAACCCACTTGTCCCTCAGCTGCTCACCTCCTCTCCTCTGAGGGGGGGCCCTGTATAAGTAGCAGGGATACTGGAGACCTTTTTGTGTTTCCCAAGGTGCAGTATGCAGCACCTGCTAGCTGCAGGGCTTCGCAGGGCTCTTGCCTGCTCCCATCTTTTTGCCAGCAAGTTCCTTTTTGCCTTCCCGTTGTCTTCAGCGCTGCTTCGGCCTCTTGCGTAGGAGAGGAAAGGGCTTGTGCTGTGGGTGTGTGGTGTGAGGCCGTGTGTGGGTTTTGCTCGTGCCTGGTGCTTCTGTACAGGCACGATGTATGTTTTGTATGGTGCGTCAGTGTGAGCAGCATGGAGGGTTGTCAGCACTTGGCAGATAACTCGGGGTTTGTCTTGGAGGAAGCTGCTGTGGTGAGTGTAATGCCTGTGAGCTGCTTTGTGCCATGTGGGATTACCCCTCTTACCCCAGCTCACACTGCAGTAGTGTGGCGTAGAAGAGAGCAGGGGACTGATGCCCTAAGGTAAAACACTGCTGAACACAGCCTTTTCTTGGAGTAATTCATCTGATAGGCTCTTTGGCCCCACTGGCAGGTCTGAGAGGTCAAATGGTTCGTGTCCATTTACAAGCACTGTAACTCTTCCTTGTGCTGAAGCCGTTCGGTTCAGGGTGGCAGGTGGCTGGAGACTTTGTGCCCAGCGTGCAGCGCTTCCTCCCAGCTCAAGTGGGAAGGATGAGGAACTGTAACGGGAGTAAGTTGGGCTTGGTGGTTTGTGACTGCAGGTGCCAGAGCCATCGACAGAGAGGATAAGCAAGGGGACCTGTTTGCAGAGAGGGGCTGCTGCGGGAGGCAGAGCCATTCCCTCCACATCGGGCAGGGTGAGTACCCCCTTTGCCTGCAAGAAATCTGGACCCTTTAAGCTTCCCCACTCATGTCCTGCCCATCGTCCCTCTTTATGATGCTTCTTTATGTTGACATTATCGTTGCGACTTTTCCCTCAGGGGGTTAAGGACAGAAGTACCCTGGGGACTTGTCACCCAGAAAATCCAACATGTTTCATAGAATAGGAGCTGATGAGTAGCCTGGCCCCTAGGTTTGTTCATCTGCATGAAAGAGGCTTCATTTTCTTTACCAGTGGGCTGCAAGGGGGTTGAATTCATTGTCTGCCTCTGCTTGATACTGCATGAGTTAAAGACTACTGCAGACTTTTTGTTCCTATGATTAACATAGGCTGTCAGACAACTGGCTTTACTGTAAAGTGGGAAACGGCTCCATTTATTCACCAGAGAAAAGCCTGTGGCCTTCAGGAGCAGCCTTTCCTCTCAGTTCCCTCCACAGCAGCAGTAAGGCCACATAACGTGAGCTTCAGCTGCTTTTAGGGCAGATAGGTGAAAGTGCCCTTAAATGGTCTGGCTGAAAGTCTGAGGCTTCTTAGGGGTTGTTTTCAGTGCATGAGAGCAGTACTTGTGCAAATTCAGCCTTTAGTGTTTGCAAAATCTCAGGTTCTTACATGAACAGTAGCAATTATAAATTTATATCTAAATTAAGAACTGTCAGAAGCAGTGACAGCTTGGCATCTCCAGAGGAAACAACTTCAAACCAGTAAATAATGATGAAAATAACAAAGATAGTGATGAAAATAGGAAGTATTGCCTGTATCACTGTGGAGATGGAAGAACAGGGGTCAACAGTGTCTTCAGACACTGTGTCCTTTGACAAGGGACACTTGCTGTGGGTGAGGAGCACCCACAGGCATCACCACCTGGGGACAGCTGGTGCACTCCAAACTGCCCTCTGCCTTCCTGCTCGCCTGCCTGAGCAGAGACATCCTCAGGCTAGCAGCAGCTGTAGCAGGAACGTGAGTTTAAGATGTCCCTGCACATTCCCTGGGGTCATGCAGCGTGGTGATGGCAGCTGTCAGCACTGACACGGAAAATAAGTTGTTAAATCAGTGCGGAATTAGAGTTCTGCAGCACATGCCGGGTCTGCAGCTCCAGCAGGCTAAAGCAAATCACAGTGGTTGTTGAACTACTCAGCGAGCACTTTTAAGGCCAGTTTTGTGCCCTATTATATGATGAAACGAGTACTTGCATCAGACCATCCTCTGAGTACGGACAGCACTGCTGGGGAAACAGCTCGTTTTAGATGGGTTTTCCGATGGAACTTCCACTAGCCAGGAGCAACAGGTATTTCACAGATGGCAGAGAAAACCGATCTAAACCTGGATGCCACGGGCCAGCATTCCTCCCGGCCCCCCACCCATTCTCACCTTCCTGTCCTCTGCCTGCAGCGCCAATGGGGCAGTGCCACAGGGCTGGGGAGCCGTGAAACTGGGATTTGGCAGGGGGAGGGGCAGATTTGCTTCAGCTGAAGCAGCTCCATGAACAGGTTCATCAGGCTCTAGGCAAGGGGGACTGTTTCTCTTTCTGCCCTGGACCCACTGGGTGCTTGGGCTGGTTTAGTACCTCTGAGGTCTGCAGTTCAGCAACAGCTGGGCATTCACATTTCCCCTTTGCTAATCAATGTGCTCATCTATTCTCACTCCATCCTTCATGAGCTCTCTAAATAATACAAAACCTACGGTTTCCTAGTGAATTTTTAATAGCATCCTTTTTATTCTGTAGTACACTTGCAAGTCTGTTATGATAGTGAAGGGCTTTCTGGGATTTCCACAGGTGCTCAGGGTGGAGGAATGTCCCTCCCTGGCAGACTTCAGGGATGGACCATGTCTTCTTTGTTCAGTGTTAGTGTTGTACTTGGCCCTGGTTTGAACTTGGGCCTCCCTAGCATCGTGTAAATAGTGAGGAGTGATTCTTTTGGCAATCCTGTGTTTCACAGATGTCTCTGGCAGTCCTGTCAGTGTGGATGTTGAAAAGTGCCAGGCCAGCTCCCTGTCCCCCAGCCTTGGCCTCCTGGGGCTCTCCAAACACTCCTCCATGCTTGATTTCCTTAGAAGCAAGAAGGTGAGAAAAGTGTGTTCGTGTTATCCCCATGGCAGGAGCAGCTGGGTCAGGGTGAAGGTCATACACTGGTGCCTGGCGCTGTGATTTTGTACATATTTTAAAATACCTGCTCTTCTGCCCTGTGGAAAACCCGTCACTGAGCCTCTTGTCCTCCCTTAGCCAGCAAGCAGTGCGATATGTAGGCTAGACAAATGGAAAGTACCCAGCAATGCTAGATGCCTCGAGGCAGAGGAAGGGTCAGAGTTCAGACGGAGGGCTATCGCAGCTCCTTCAGGCATCATCCAAGCATATCTCTGTCCTCCCCAGCCCAGCAGCAAGACCAACTCTTTCAGCCACACATGCTGTATCTCCTGTACGTGAAAGCTGGTGTCCTGTATGTAGAGGGGTTGGAGGCCTTTTTCTGCCTGGTTGAGCAAAACTGGCAGGTCCATGCTGAAATCTGGTCTTTGAGGTGCTTACGTCACTCCCTTCTCACATGCCATGTGTCACTCCTAGGAGGGACTGGAAGGAACCTGTGCATTTGGGGCACAGCTATGCACAGGCTGCGATGCTCTCCTTATCCCGGAAATAACGTTGCCTGAAGTCCCATCTCCACCAGGATAACTAACTCTGGAGAGTGAATGGAAACAAACTCTCATGTGTGTCCTGTGAGTGTTCAGCTGGGTAACTGTGAAAAATCTTGTTGCCACTTGTCCCACTGCTGTCACGGTTGTGGCACTGGTGGTACAACATCATCCAGGTGGGCAGGTCCATGTTCGTTCCCCGGAACTGTGATCACACGGATCGGGAGCCTGGGCTGAAGCGAGGGCTGCTTCAGCCAGTACAGTGCTGAGGGTGCAGCAGGGTTTGGAGGAACAGACAGTTTTACTGTCACTGGAAAGAGCAGCACCACAGCAACGCATTGCTGCCAAGCAGGGAGAAAGGAGTAAAAGCTGAGTCGGCTCTAGGTCAGAGAAGGTTTTTATCAGGGAGCTGGTGGTGGAAGTTGTTCTCCATGACCTGTTTTTACCAGCGTGTATGCCACTTGCCCTCTTCTGCACAGCTGCAGGTCCAGCACCCTGACTCGTCACTGGGGCCGGGAGCCCCACGTTCCTGCCCAGCAGGAACCCTCCTGCTGCCAGCCTGCCCGCATGCACGTGGAGTACCTCCTGCTCTTCC